TCAGACCAAAAGTGTACTTTCAATATTCTTAAATATCAATCTGCTAATTGCTTAATAAAAAAATCTTCTCTTTCAAGTCGAGGACGAGAGAATTTTTCAGTCACTGAAATCAGTGACGTTAATAGTGGGCGCGTAGAGCGGTACAACAAGAAAAAAATGCTCGCAGTTATTTCAATGACACACACAACAGGTTGTGTCAAAATGGTTTACATCAGCGTTTTCACCAGTCCATAATGACCTCAAGTTATCTATAGTTAGGCCGCAGCCAAAATAAAAAACAGGTACGATGACTTCATTTTTGTCCGATTTTTGCTGTAGTTTGCTTTTCTTATTGTAATGAGTCAAACATCTGCTTAGCAGGAAACGGTGCTGATGGCACTCCAGTCAGTTCCTGGCCCAAAAGGCATTATGATAGCGTCTACAACAGCCTCTCTTTAGGTACGGCGAACAAGAAGATCGAAACAATTCATCAGAAAATGAAGAAACAGCTTCCATACGTTCAAAATGACATCAGCATCATCAAAGAAAGAAACAACGCTTTATCGCGAGGTATAGTTACACAATCGATTATCATTTTTTTCCTTTCCATTTGTTTAGAAATGCTGCTTAGATAATAATGGATAGCCTATGGATTTTAACCTTTTTTGATCATGACTTACCGTCTATATTTCCAATGAATTCGCAGAAACTCTCCTCCGAGAAATGCAAAAGAAACGTCCAGAAATTCAAAACGAAATTGCTGCCATCAAAGAAACAAGACGCTTGCTGAAACTCAAGACAACTCTACTAAAATTATTCTTTTTCATAATTCCAAAAAGGTTTCTTTTGTTTTTCCGTTAATTGCAAGATCAAGATGCTTGTCATGTTACCTGCAAAGGTTTGAGTTGGTTCGCGGACAGGCTCTTGCAGAAATCTGTCAAGTTAGATAGGGTTGCTTTCGCTTAAATCTTACGATGAATTTACCTTTTCTTCCAGCAGTTAAGAAGAATTGAGCTAAGCTTTAAAAATCTGGTAAAGCAAGCAGCGGTGTTTATACA